ACAACACGGGCTCCATCATCCACTCATACATGTTAAAAGAATATCCATTTGCTTTACCTTTGATCCAGTTGAAAGCTCTGAGTTGAACCAGTTCAAACATCCTGTTAACTTCAAACTCTGATTTTCTAAAAATCTTTCCATTTCTTAATATCCATATAGACCATATGAAAGCTAACCAGACCACATCCCACCCTGCTCTCACTGATGATTCTTTAAAAACAGATTGGTGTTGCTCAAAAGTTTCTATGCAGGTATTAGGCATAGCCGTTGATATCCCCCACCATTGCAAACATTTTTGCCACACCGAGCAAGAGTCTCTGCAGTGAATAAACAAGTGATTGCTGTCTTCTGTGCTTTCCCCACATAATCCGCATAGCACTTGGTTAGGATCAGTGATAATGCCCCTTCTAAATAAGTTGAGTTTAGTGGGAATTCTGTCTTGTAAGGCTTGCCAAGTGAAAGCACTGACCTTTGTTGGGACTAATCTGCTCCATATCCTTTTGTAAATCCATGCTTTCACGTTTCCATTGTTGCTTGAGAGCACATTGTATGCTGTTTTGATTACATACACACCCTCTTTATCATGCTTCCACTCCCATCGGTCTTTCTGCTCTTGATCAGGTTTAGTGTTATCCAGTAAAGCCTGGAGCTCAAACCATTTGTCCTTCTCCCATTCAAACAAAGATCTCCTCCACTGTACAGACCATTCCCATTTTCCGTCCCTCCATTTGCCCAATTTGCTGATTCTATCTTCTTTCCCTGAGGACACCCGAAACAGTGAAGGAAATTGGTTAGCAAGAGTTTGGTTCCCAATCCATACATCCTTCCAGAATCGCACAGTGTTCCCTTCTCCCATTTTAAGTTTGAAACCGTCTGAAAGCCATCCCCTTTTATTGTGCACAACGTTGTCTAACTTGCAAATGTTTCTCCACCAGCTGGATCCCTTATGACTATTCTCTTGAATCCACTCAAGCCAATGGCTGTCCACATTCCCATATTTTTCTTCAATGATCCTATGTAACGGACCGTCATTCCCGCTTGCTAATCTGCTCCACCACTTGCCCAACAAAGCAAGATTGAAGCTTCTTAACTCTTTAACTCCGAGCCCACCTTCCTTTTTGCTTTTGCATACTTTATCCCAACAAACCCAACTTGTTTTTCTCGTCCCCTCCTCTCCCCCCCATAGGAAGTTCCTACGAATTTTTTCAAGGGAGAGGATCACGCCTTTAGGGAGCAAGTGCACTGACATGAAGAACACCGGAATGTTGGATAGCACGGAGTTGAGAAGTGTGATCCTTCCGCCAAGGGATAGGAACCTGCCCTTCCATGAGCACAGCTTCTTCTTAAAAGACTCGATCAGCGGTTTCCATACCTTTGCGTTTCTACCGTTGCCTCCTATTGGTACTCCAAGGTACTTACAGGGGAAGGTTCCTTGCTTACAATTCAATATGTGGGCCATTTTTGTCTTCCATTCGTCTGAAACACTTATGCCCATGAGTTGGCTTTTTCCGAAGTTAATCTTCAATCCCAACACCAGCTCGAAGATTCTCATTATGCTCTTTGCTGCCCATATATTCTCTTCCTCTGCTTTATCAAACAAAATTGTATCGTCTGCAAACTGAAGGTGAGACCATCTCCTTTCATTGCTGCCAACAGTAATCCCCTCAAAAAGTCCCCGATTAGCTGCTGAGGAGATGATTCCATTAAGGCCTTCAGCTACTAACAAGAATAAATAAGGAGATAAGGGATCCCCTTGTCTAAGGCCTTTAGAGATTTTTACTTGTCTGGTGTTGCTGCCATTGATCAAAACAGATACCTCTGCTGTCCTCAAGCACTCATCTATCCATCTTCTCCACTTCGGTTTGAATCCCATTCTTGACATCATGTACTGCAAAAACTCCCAACATACATTGTCGTATGCCTTCTCGAAGTCTAACTTAAATGCAAAACTAGCTTTTTTCTTTCTCTTCGCTTCATCAACTATTTCATTGGCAATAACAATGCTGTCCACCATTTGTCTTCCTCCAACAAACGCCATTTGGCTTTCTCCAATTAATTTGTCCATCACTGCACATAGTCTATTAGAAAGGAGTTTTGCTATCACCTTGTACATCACCCCAATCAAGGATATGGGACGGAATTCCTCTATTTTTTGGGGATTTATCACTTTGGGGATCAACACGATGAATGAGCTGTTTGCCCCTCTAACCAGTTTACCATGCTTATGAAAATCTTCAACGTAGCCTAACATGTCGTCTTTGATTTCCTCCCACATTTCTCTGATGAACCTGAAATTAAAACCATCTGGTCCTGGTGCTTTGGAACAGTCACAGCTCCAAACCGCCTGCTTTACCTCCTCTTCACGGAACGGGGCTAGCAATATTGAGTTCTCGTCCTCTGAAATCATTTTAAAAGCGATCCCGTCGAGGTGGGGGCGCTGCCATCTGTCTTCTGTGAAAACCTTCTCATAATAATTGGCCACCTCTTCCTTTATCTCATTGACCTGATCTAAGACCTTGTCTCCCACCTGTATACTGACTATCTCATTCCTTCTCCTTCTTCCCTTTACACACCGATGGAAAAATTTGGTGTTCGCATCCCCATCTTTCATCCATGTCTTCCTGGCTTTTTGTCGCCACATGCTCTCCTTCATTTTCTAGCATCTCCACATTTGTAAGAAGCTATTCCTTCTCACATCCACTTCCTCGGCCGATAATGTGGTCATTTCTGCCTTCAAATCCAAAGCCGTAATAGACTCCTTGAGTTTTTGAATGTTGGAATCCACCTCAAGCACCATGCTCCTACTCCAGACCTTCAAAGCATTCTTTGTTTCCTTTAGCTTTTCTTTAAAGCGATATCTGTGCCACCCTGTAACCTCTGTCGACCTCCATGTTCTACTCACTAACTCCTTAAACTCTGGAATATCAATCCACATATCAAAAAATCGAAAAGGTTTGGGGCCCCAATCTATTATTTGGTTTTTAAGCATAATTGGACAGTGATCAGCTATTGTTCGCTTCAATCCCCATTGTTTGACATCCCCCCAATTGATACACCATTGTTCAGACA